TCGTACCTTGCAGACCACAATAGTGAAGGTTGGGAAGAAAATGCATGGGCGAATGAGTAGCCCTCTTAGCTTTATTAATTTCACATCCGCTCCCCTCACTTTACACATTTCGGTCGGTTCTTTTCATTAGTTGGTGTTATCTATATAGTGTAGATCAACAGATTCTTATTTGTACTTGTGGATTTGTGTGTCATATTTATGTTTGTTATGTGCTATTAACATAATTGCGAAGATTACTTCTGTTCGTTTGTTTTTTGATAGTAATTGATTATGAGGGATATTTTTGTTATCTCTTCCGTACTAGATACATCGCTGCCGAGTTTTAGAATCTGTTGTAAAAACATTGAAATTGAATTCACGGATGGTGTAGTTAAGCGGTCACCATACCGCTTCCTACTACGCTAGGTGTTGTTAGTTCGATCCTCACATGAGACGACATTTTGTGTAATCCACAAATTGTTGTTCTGAGTCTGGGTGTTCTTTGTGTCCGTTTCATTTATGTTTGTAAAGTCCCTCGTGACACTGGAGGTATTCCAAGTGCCGGAGTTGTCTTAAAAAAACATTTGTGATGAAAGGAGATCTATCACGTTGTTTGAGGTATTCAATGTTAAAGCTTAGATCATTTTGTACATAAGTTTTTTCAGATCACGGTTACACTTTATTTTATTTCATAGCTAACAGGGTTTAACAAAAATATTAGCTTGTAGATTATGCAATGGTCACACTTATGATAGTAATAATAATTCCTCCTCAATAAATTTTACTATTTTTTTCTTTTTGTAAAATAAATTGTACAACATTCATCACATATGTATATTAGTTTGGGACTGTGCCTAACCAAAATATCATTAATACCACAGATAAAATATCATTAAGCAGATTCGACAGTTAAGAGTTATGGAAGTTAACTAAACGGCATGAGTTAAATACGAGTATAATACTCATATTACATAAAAGTAAAAGGAGGCAAACGTGCATTTGGGATACCCGATAGTAAATGACTACGACCCTCCACCTTAGAGTAAACCTCCGAGAATTACGTTACCTCACTCAGTAGGTGAAAAGCCAGTTTCCTGCCATCATCATCTCAGCCGAAAGACGTCCACTGCTGGATAGGCCTCCCCAAAGCTCTAAACAACAACTGGTTCTGTGCTGCCAGCGTGCTCGTGGAATCATTTCCGTAGAGATGGCTCTAATTTGCGGCAATATGTGTGTGTACTTTAAATACAATTAGAACTACAATAGGGCAATTTGGTTGAATCAAAGTTCTTTATTAAGCAAAATAAAGTTAAATTTCGTATTTCGTTTATAAAATAATTCAAGAATATCGAGTTGCTTTACACAAAATGATTGTACATCAACTGTGTTCTACAACGTATAAGATAAACACTTAAAGAACTACAATAATAAGAATAATTTATACTCGCATAATGGTATGAAAATATTCTTGTAGTATTCACACAAAGCACATTTTCTCTATTCCCCGGCAAGAAGGCAAAGAGAAATAATATTATTTTAAAAAACAAAAGCCTTTCTTAAAAGTGCATGTACCGTCGAGTGTCTAGGTGCTAAGTGCATATTAGAGCTGCTTCATACAAGAACACTGCAGTAGGATATATTTTATTGTTACGTTTTGTTCGTACTTATGATAATAATACTCGTAGCATTTTGGAAGATAGTAAAATATTCTGTAGAACACAAAGTGGTTAAACATAAGTATCAACATTTTTTAATTTCATCATCATTATCAACAGCCTTAAATAGTCCACTGCTGGACATAGGCCTCTCGTTAGATAAGAGGTTTTTGCTGGTTTTTATCACGTTATTAATTACGTTATTTAATACTTATTTTATATATACTCGTATTTTAACAATTTATAATTTCCTTAACATACTTATCAGATATTTTCCTTGGAACCTTGGGATTATTACTCGTTCTTATTCTATTTGGGGTAGTACGAGTTGTATGTATGTAAAAGTACTAGGAGAAACAGACCTCTCTATATTGCCAACATTGATTACCAGAAAGCATTCGATACGGAGTCACAAAGCATACCTGGATGTGTAAAACCGAGGATCACTCTAAGTGGCGTGCCATAGGAGAGGTCTATGTCCAGCAGTAGACTGAAGAAGGCTAATAATGATGATGCGTAATATAGCAAATATTTTCAGCTGGTTTCTTTCATCGTCGGCTGACGGCCTGAGCCAGGGTTGGTGATGGTAATGGAATCGTTTTAGATGAGATAGCTTGGCATGGCAAGAGAGATAAAGTCCAGCAGTAGACAGCAGTAGGCTAATGATGATGATGCGTAATATAGCAAATATTTTTGGCCGGTTTCTTTCATCGTCGGCTGCCGGCCTGACGCCAGGGTTGGTGATGGTAATGGAATCGTTTTAGAGGAGACAGCTTGGCATGGCAAGAGAGATAAAGTCCAGCAGTAGACAGCAGTAGGCTAATGATGATGATGCGTAATATAGCAAATATTTTTGGCTGGTTTCTTTCATCGTCGGCTGCCGGCCTGACGCCAGGGTTGGTGATGGTAATGGAATCGTTTTAGATGAGATAGCTCGGCATGGCAAGAGAGATAAAGTGAAAGATACCTCAAATACAATACGTCTTGGGTCACGTCCTGTGATTGGAGATGTCACCAGGACAGGTATATGAATTGGTCATAATAGTATACATATTATAAAATAGGACGCATCACCAAAATTAAAGATTTAGAAATTTTAACAACAAATGTTAGATCACGCCAAAAATATGAAACAATTTAGGTATATGTTGTGTTAAGTGAATAATCTTTTTTGTTGCTACGATTTTGTTTTTATAATGTAATTTGATACTTTTTTGACCTACTTAAAGTTAGGCAGTGTAACACTTAGTGTAATGTATTCTTATATTTATTTTTAAAGTTATAATAATATTTCTTAAGAATATGCTCATTAATATTAATGTTCGTTCGACCGTTCATTTTCATTTTGCGGACAAATATTTCACCGTTCCTGACCTAGCAGGTACATATGTACGTGATGAGGTCACGTCCTTGCATATTAATGAACGGACATTCATGATAAACTGAAGGTGATTGGTCTTACTCGTGTGGGAGGTACTTTACCGTGTCTCGTGGTCTCTCGTGACGCACTCTACGAAGCAGCTTTGTCAATTTACCGAGCAGCATTGTTTTATTTGGACTGCAAATGAGTTAGGTTTGTGATATCGTGATGGACTTGAAATGTTTCAAAGGATGTTTGTCAGAAATCTAATAAGTATATTATGATATCATCAAATAATTCATGAACAACTCTGATATTTTGTAGAGGAAGAAGAGGTTAGAATTATTAACCAAAGGAAAGCAGACAAGTATTACAAAACACGATCAAAAAGGAAGATTCTGTGCGTAGGTGATGTTGGGATTTTGAATACTTGATTAAATTATTACAAGAACTCTCAATGCAGGATTCAAGAGCAGTTATTTCTACGTAGTTCAGGCTGTATTCGTTAAATGGTGGTAAAATAAAACAAAATATGTTATACCCTTATGTAAAAGAAGAGCTCGGTCTTTCCGGCAATGGTCAAATCGAGTTACAGATGTGGAACCCTGAGCTGGTTCGAGTGTGTGTAAAATCTCCAATCTATCTTATCCTTCTAATTTAATCCCTAAAGTAAATGTTTCTGTATACCCTTTCGGGGAAATAGGTAGGAGTGCATGTATGATTATTTTTGTCGATTAGGGGTTTAAGGACTTAACGGCGGTAAGTGACTACCGTAGACCTTAGGAACCTGTGAGTCCAAAGTTACTTGAAAACTATGTGATTTGTAATAACTATATATAGTTATTACAAATCACATATAAGTCGCGATAGAGATACAACAATTGTTAAACAAAAATACTGAAATAACCTTTTTTTTTTTTTTTACACTTTATGCACAAATGTGACAAAGGCGGACTTAATACCGTAGGCATTTTCTCCCAGTCAAACATAGGGCGATGCAGAGCCAAAACATGGTAGATGCACAAAATAAATTAAGAATGTGATTTTAAGAAAAAATATAGCACATATAGGATATCATATACCATATTAACTACATTAGAATATTAAAAAAAATACATATACAATAAGTGATAATAACACTAACAAATACAATACATAAGTATTTACATATACATATGCACCTATACACATATATAATTATATTATATATACACATACATACATATATATATCCATCTAATAAATCCTCGAAGAGAAAGTAAAAAGAAATAAAAAAATAAGATTAAGCTTTACGTACATAGCAACGTAACTCAAACCATCTCTTCAGTCGATGCTCACATCCTTTTAATTGTTTCGCTGGTCTTTTGTTTTCCACCTATTGTTACCACAGAGTCAGCAGTTTTGAGTGCCAAGCTGCACTAAAACATGATTTTCGAGAAACGGCTTTAATGTGGATATTCGATACAACGCAGATGCTCGCGTCACCTTATAAAGCAAAACCCCGAATACTATTCGAGATGAAATGTTTTATATTTAGCCAATGTGAATGCTTAGATTTTGGGCAAGTCAGTATCTTTTGCCACCTTCTGTAGTAAAGCCATTGAAGGTGAATTTGACATAACTTTCTTTATTAAAGTCTGTAAAATATCTAAACAGATTTGTAAGATGAATAATATACTTATTTTTTTCCTTATTTTGTACTTTTTACAATGGGTTCTTATGACTATATATAACAACAGTAAAAATAATAAGTATAAAATTGTTATCAATAGGTTCCAGTCATTGATATTCAATAGTAGATTCGCCAAAGCTTTAAACATAAGCTGAGTGAGCTATAAACTAATCAACATTCCTACACTCATCACCTAAAACTTCTATTGTGAAGAATAAAAAGAACTCTTGACAAAAACTCAAAGCTGCCTTAGGACTTCCTTCTTATTCAGACCATATAAGAAGTAGTGTATGTTATCAAATTGCTAAAGTCACCAAACATTTTTTGGCCAGAATTAATTAAACTTGTAACCTACCGTCGAAAAATAATAAACCCCAGACGCGTTACCAGGATTCCAGAAACCGGCAATCGTTCTATCGTTTCTAGAGCATTTGTCATTCTTGAAATACTTGTATTTCTCACATTTAAAGGCCGGGTACCAGTCTGGATTCCCAACAGACGCTAACCACATTCTTACACAAGTTTTATGATTACATCTAGCAGCTTTTGGAGAATCAAAGAAGCCTGGTAGTAAAGGTGTACCACAATTAGGCTGTGATATGCCTTTATTGACGAAAAAGTCTACATCTCCTAAAACACTCGAAGTACCTAAACTACCAGCATTACAATGGTACACTTCGACATGCTTAGCTAGCCCTGACCTCACTTGCTCTTCAATCAAACTGTTAGAGAAACAAGGTCCTGCGGGGTCTAAAGCTGTTATTCTCGAAAGTTTTTGATCAGTCGCTTCTATAAAAATGGATCCAGTATGGCCCAATATTTGACTGCCCAAACTGTGGCCAATGCAGTGTATATTTTCAGCAGATATACCTCCTTGATAAAGTCCGACTAACATTTGGGCCAATTGTTTTCCGATAAAGTAAACATATTTGACTGAACGTTCATAGCCTTTTTTGTTTCCTATCTTGTTGTTTGTGTAAGGAGAATGGTCAATAATGATTAAGTAGCTGTTGGGAAAATTCTTGAATGTATCTCGTACTCGCTGTTCTGTGTCTTTGTTAATAGCTGACTTGTAGCCACCGACGAAAACAAACAGTTTTTTAACTTTGTCCAGATTTGATAAGGATAGAATGCCTTGGGCAGCTTCGTTGATTGGAAAATCTCGTTCTATATTATTTTCAAAGTCGTAAAAGAAGACGTTGATTTCACTGACGTCCAGGTCCAAACTTTTGTTGTGATCACCTGAAAATATAATAATAAATGACGAAATTAATAAACCACGTGGTGACGGATTAATAATACGGAATGTCACCACCCCTATTCATCCCATGGATGTCGTAAACACTGACTAAGGAAGCAAACTACGCAGGACAACAGCACTGCAAAGAGAAGGAAAACTTGATACAAACCCTATACCAACTCGTCTGGCTAGCGTGGTATAGTAGGCCAAAACCTCCTTTCTAAGGAGAGGCCTTTGTCAAGCAGTGGGATGTTATAGGCTGTTGATGAATAAACCACTAGTCGGTCCTTGATACTCTCTTTTCAATTGCAGAAGTTCTTGGAGTTGAAGTTTCTGACATTCACAACAACAATATATATTTATAAGCATCCGTAAGTAATCACATCAGATGCATTGAATTACTCAGCCACTTAATAGGTATAAATTCCAAAAACATCTAATCTAGGCGTCTCTTGGGGCTGTCAAAGTATTGGATCGGCGTCCCGAAATTCGAGAAATCGATGACCGGAAATCCCAACTCCGCCAGGTCATCATAGGGGAGTGGAGGGAATGACTCGGGCAACCCAGCGCCGGGCACGCCGTCATTGCGGTGGTAAGACCCGTTATGGACAATTGGCTCGAGAGGCGTCACGGGACCCTCTCATACCGACTGATGCAGGTGATCACTGGGAAAGGATGTTTCGGGGATCACCTGTGTCTGATCCGCAAGGAGCCAACGCCTGAGTGCCACCACTGTGATGGCCAGACCGTGGACACGGCTCTCCACACGCTGGCAAAGTGCCCGGTGTGGGTTGAGCAGAAGCGAGATCTCGTGGCGGCCATCGGAGTGGGAGTTCTCTCGCTCGATAGCCTGATTGCGGCTATCGTGCGGAGCAAGAGTGCTTGGAACTCTGCCGTCTCCTTCTGCAAGCAAGTTATGCTCGCGAAGGAGACGGCGGAGCGGGACCGGGAGAGGTTTAGAACTCTCCCGGCCCGCCAGGCCCGGGAACGGGCCAGGTACCGCAGGCGACTCAGGCGCAGGTCGCAGGTCGCAGAACGACCTCCGTCCTCCATAAGCGCAGGCCATGGGGTGACAGGTGAGGCCATCTGTAACCCTAGCAGAAGCAGGCCGGGGTGGCAGGGAGCAGAGGGAACATGGGGTTCCCACATGGGGGGGGGGGGGGGGTCGTCGACATACCACCGATAGGTGGTATCCGAGGGAATTTCCGCTCGGAAAAAAAAAAAGAGGCTGTCAAAGTATGAGTTAGGCTTCTTCAATCTTTGGACCTCAAACTAGATTAGAAGAGTTGCGGTCTTACGGTCATACTGTTTTTGTATGAAAAGTTATTTTTACGAAGTGTGCATATATGCATTAAAATAATATAGATTCCAATTAACATAATTATTCACAGAACATGCTCAAGGAAATGATTAAACACTAAATTAAATTACGGAATTAGCTAGTTGCCTGTTAATGTTACTTGTGCTTTATTACGAAAATAATAAATAAGTGGAAAATTTTCATAGTTATTTTACTACAATATACACAATGCTATTCAATTATTATGAAATGGAATTACGAAACTCAACACAAATATTTCATTTTAATACTTTAATACTATTAGAAAGAAATAGCCAATAATATATTCTTTAGTACCCATTTTTTTTTATATCAATGAAGAATATAAAGGTTTAGAATAAACGGACAGTATTTTTCTGTACAAGAGAGAGTTTTGTTGAAAATTCCTTAAAACCTAAACTTCCTTAAACTTAAACGGCTTAAAAAATAAACAAAAAATACTCACATTTGACCATTTTCAAAACCAAAGTAAAAGGTCCATATTTCTCCCAATCACCTTTTCCCAACGCAGAGACGTAACCAATGCACAAAAGAAAATATAAAAAATAATGCATTTTCGAGGTGTATATAGCGACAACTTGAGTCTAAATTACGACTTTAAGGAGTTAAACAGCGTCTATCGCCAATGATGAAGGACTGATAAATGCGGTGTGACCGCATATACATGATTAAACTGTACAGTGTGGGGTAATAAACTACACAGTCTTCATAAGTGATATGTACTGCTATCTTTCGGTCAATTACATTTAGTAATCACAAAGTGCTTTTTACTTTGTTTCTGTACAAACTGACCTTATTTGAAGCGGTTATTTATTATTCATTCACCTTGTAGAAACATTCCTTTTTTATAAAAATGTTATTTTTAGAAGAATTTTTATTCGCTTCTGAATATATATTTAGGTTATAAAAAGGAAAAAAATCTTTTAAATAAATTTGTTTTTCTCTGGCTCACAAATTGTAAAAATTTTATAATACAAATACTCTTTTGTAATTTTGATAATTTAACAAATCATAGTCTAATCGATAAGGTGATATTATTTTCATTGCATGGATTTCTTTACAACAAGAAATTATTATCTAAAGCTGAGATTAATATTCTATTTATGAAACTAATTCATAAGACATGGGAAAACATCATCAACAGCCTTTACTAGTCCACTGCTGGACATAGGCCTCTCCTTAGAAAGGAGGTTTTAGCCTACTATACTACGGTTGGTATAGGGTTTGTGTCAAGTTTTCCTTCTCTTTGCAGTGCTGTTGTCCTACGTAGTTTGCTCCCTTATTCGTCTCTTACGACACCCACGGGATGAATAGGGGTGGTGACATTCCGTATTCTTAATCCGTCACCACACGAACAATGGGAAAACATACCAAAAGTAATTTTCTGACACATTTTCTATGTCCACATTATTAGTGAAGTACGTCACGCCCGATCTAAACCCTGTTTAGAACACATGTGTAGTACACAAAGGTTATAAGTTAGAAAAGTTATAAGAAATCACTAATATATTTTTATTTATCATTCGCAAATCGGTGTGCACACCGGACTACAGCGTACTGCTTACAAAGTAACAGTAAATGTTTATTACTGACCAAATAGTACTGTTACTCGTTGATAAGAAATAAATATTCATTATTTTGTTATTCATTTGGTCATTCCAAATTATTGTGTTAATTATCACACAATGTTAAATATGGAAGTGAAGTGGTGTTTTCTACTACAGGAATTTTACGTTTAAAAGAAGATTCCGAAAACAACTTTCTTTATTATATTATTATTATTAATTTTATGTTTACAGTTTATTTCACAAAGTCTATGTTTTTTTATTTCTTCGAACAAAAATAATTTTAGAACTTTTAGAGATTATCAGGTTCAGGATTTTTTTTACTGTAATTATGATGAAAAACTTTCAATTGTACTTAGAAGTAGAACTAACTTTTAAAAGGTTTTCGTTAAAGAATAGCTTAAAGTATTTTTTTTATTCTAATTCCTGTCACTTGATACAAAAGCAACACATTACGTATTCTACATACTTACCTTTATTTATTTTTGATCTTTTAAATTACGAATTCTTTAATGAATTCATAAGTTGGCATCACTGTTTATAATCAGTAGAACAATATTTTATCCTACATCAATGCACTTCAAACTGTGTTCACGAATCAGGGTTATTTACATTAAAGTGTCGACCAATCACTGATAAGCACTTATCTTGAGAGCTAACGTTGTAATGTCTATATACAGACTAAGATAAATGGACCAGACAATGATCTATTTCTGTATTATTTGAGAGCATCATTACATTATGGTTGCGTCGCAGACTTATAAATAACTAAACAAGTTTTCGCACACATTGGTGTGAATTCTGTTGTTCGAAAACTCTCTAAACTAAACTAAAAATCACTAAAAATTTGTGTAGTCCTGTGAAGTACTACATTTTCAGAATACGAAACGTTATTTGATTTTTAGTTTAGTTTAGAGAGTTTTCGACCAACAGATTTAGCACCACTGTTTACTTATATTTAAACCACAGTATACCTCGTTCCTTTTGATTCCTTCTATTCTTGTTATGTCGTCATAAAAAAAAAAAACAAAATAGCGCGTAATTTCTTTTTGACAGTTTTTTTTAAATAGCGGTTTTGTATTAGAGATACCGGAGTTTAACGAGCGTAAGTCATTAATAGTCATTATTATTGTAATACTAACAATTTTTTTTTCTTTTTTTTTTGACAATATCCGTATAAAGGTTGTCTGTTAGAGATCGCCGTGAGCGATAAGACCGCCTATTGTTATACCGAAATGTATTAATTATCTGTATATATAATACTTCCATGGTCTACAATAAAGAGATAAATAAATAAATATTATGAAAATAGGTCAAAGATAGTGACAGACTTCAAAGTGATAGACTTCAAGAAAGGAATAAAATTAATTGGAATGTACTGTTTTTATGTTTGCAAATTTAGATCTTCTTTATTTGTGAACTAATTTGGAAAATTATTTTTTACGTAAGAAGGTATCCTGTTCATTTTAATTTCAAGAAAAAAACTATAAATAGTTCAATACAATGCATCACGATGTAGGTGAATTGACGTGCTCTCATTGCGCTGATATTTTTTTAAAGTTAATTATTTAGGTAACATTCAATACTATCCTAAACAGATTAGAAACATGTGACCCTTTTTTTTTTTTTTTTTTTTTTTTTTTCCTTGCGGAAATCCCCTCGGATACCACCTGTCGGTGGCATGTCGGACTCGAACCGACTAAAACCGCACGCCTTCGCCGGGTACTAATAGCCGGGGAACCAGGTATACCCTAGAAAGGAAGGCCCTGGTGCCCCGACATACCTCGGGTCATCTACAGACGAGTAGACGACCCCCGCCCCGTGTGGGAACCCCATGTTCCCTGTGCTCCCTGGAAGCGAGCGCGCTTCGCAACGCGCTCGCTGCCACCCCGGCCTGCTTCTGCTAGGGTGACAGATGGCCTCACCTGTCACCCCCAGGCCTGCGCTTATGGAGGACGGAGGTCGTTCTGCGACCTCCGGCGCCTGAGTCGCCTGCGCTGCCTGGCCCGTGCCCGGGCCTGGCGGGCCGGGAGAGTTCTAAACCTCTCCCGGTCCCGCTCCGCCGTCTCCTTCGCGAGCATAACTTGCTCGCAGAAGGAGACGGCAGAGTTCCACGCACTCTCGCTCCGCACGATAGCCGCAATCAGGCTATCGAGCGAGAGAACTCCCACTCCGATGGCCGCCACGAGGTCTCGCCTCTGCTCAACCCACGCCGGGCACTCTGCCAGCGTGTGGAGAGCCGTGTCCACGGTCTGGCCATCGCAGTGGTGGCACTCAGGCGTTGGCTCCTTGCGGAGAAACATGTGACCCTGACTGCTACGCCAGAGGTCGTGGGTTCGATTCCCACCCAGAACAAATAATTGTGTGATGAGCACAACACACTTTATCTATGATAATAATATGTATGTATTTAGAAATATATAAGTATGTTTATCAGCAGTCTGGTTACCATAGTACAGGCTCTGCCTAGTTTTGGATCAGACCGCCGTGTGTGAGATGTTTGTGAAATATTAAATATTATTAAATATGTACTGAAAATTATATGATATACGTTACGTTAAGAGGAATGTTGAGTAAATACAATTTAAGAAATTACCATTAACTTCACAATTAATCAAGTTCGCTACATAAACCAGGTAAACAGTCCTGTAATTATGTAATGTTCGTGTATTATCGTGGTTAAACAATTACGATCACATGCTAAAATATTAAGTAATTTTCTGATAAGAATTATTTAGTGTGTTCGAGGAATTTGTAGCATGTAGCATTAAAGCATTTGTACAATGTACTTTAACTGACTTCAAAAAAGAAGAGAAGTATCATTACGACCGAATTATCTTTTTCTTTTTTGCATATATTAAATATTTTTCTTTTTTTGATCGATATCGACTATCCCTTTTTATATGAATAAGCTGTATTGGATCAGACAATCATAGAATTCGATCGTTCAATGAACAATGATTCCAATTAAATTTAAAGAAAATATTCTAGAAAACTAAGGGATAAAGAATAGATTTTCTTATAAAGTATTTAAATATGTGCATGTTATCTTTTTCATTGCAACTCATATTTCTGGCTAATGGTGATAATTACAGCAGTGATAGCATTCCTTTCCTTGCTAGGAAAGCTGTAATGTGTTAACTCGCAAAAGTTTTAAATATTAATCAACGATCTGGCTTTTATCAATTCTTTTCAATATCTTGTATTCTATTCTTTCTTTCGTCTTTTTTTAAAAACAACGCCCGCATTAGGAATAAATCCTGTGTCGCGGGGACTTCACAAACATACATGAAACGGACACAAAGAACACCCAGACTCAGAACAACAATTTGTGGATCACACAAAGTGTCGTAATTCTTCTTCTATCAATTCTATTATTCTATCATGTCTTTTCTATGTCATACCGCATGCCTGACTTTTTTATCTCCTTTCTATAGAATAGAGTACTAATTAAAACAGGTCTAAGACATGCAATAGGAATTGTAATTTGAATTACGAGAAACCTGCAGGTAATCTCTAGTATGATAGACAAATGTAAATAAAATAACATTTAAGATTTCATTTCGCATTGGCCAGGACACTATGTACAGAAGACAGTGGATAGCAAAGCATTCGCAAACACGTTCGAATATTGCGGCAAAGCAAACACGCTGTGACAATGGTCTGCTTTCATATAACAGAGATGTATTAGATTTTTTGTGCTTATTGCGATTTAATGTTAAGGTTTTTTTTTGGTAGAGGAATCAAACGAGAGACGGGTTGACTCGCACTGAGACTCGCAACTCAAGAGATGTGTAAGTGTGTTAAGTATGTGAGGGATGGACTTCACTCGAAAGAGTTAACATTGGTTTTTGTGTGAGACCGTGGTATCACTCTTGTCGAAAGAGTTTTTTAAACACCGTTTGCTCTGAGGCCGTGGTGTAATTCCTGTGGAGGAATGTTTTTGTTTTAGTTCTTGTATTATATTCTTTTTAGTTCCAAATAAAAAA